TTAGGTGTTGAAAAAACCAAATTTATTCTATGAAGTACTACAGTAGTACTTCATAGAATAAATTTGATACTGACAAAACGAGATGTGTGGACAAACTGTCTAAAGACGAATTGACGAATCGCAATTTGTATGCGTATGTACCTGTATCAAATGTTACACGTCGGTTGGGAAAGTTAGTATTATTTACAGTATTTTCACGACTAAAACTATTATTATAGTTATTATTTTCCTCATTAAAAACATTATTATTAATTCTATTCGAATTAGTCACAGGTTTATATGTCCGATTAAATCTGTTACCACTATAATTCTGCAAATTTCTACTCGAATTGCTACGCCACGTATTACGACGTCCTGGATGCCGGGTTAACCTATTATTTAAGTAACTTAAATTCGTACGAGGTGGTAGACGACCTTCACCCGGTGTAACTAACTGTGGCGTCTCGTTAGAATCCGATGCTTGAGCTAATGCTCTAAGTTCCGCCACCATCTCATCGTTTTTCGGGATAAATTCTGTATTCATTTGTCCAGGTGAGTATGGCGACTGAATCTGATTCTTTTTCTTCTTACAGTATTCCTCGGAATGTCTCCCACCTCGACAAATGCACACTTTGCTAAGCATCTAAATTGTTTGTGGCCCTGTTTGCCACATCCTCGACAAATTAATCGAGTTTTCTGATGCTGCAAAGCTTTTTGTTTGGATCGGTTGAATGTATGAACCTGCGCATAGTCCAGTGTAGGCGTAGCCGACCTGTTGGAGTTGAGCGTAGAAGACGTGAACGTTGTGTTTCCCAATCATTTTTTGGGGATAATCTCCCGCATCTCCGTTCGGAAAACTTTATTCCACGATTTTTCGATCGTTTCTTTCAGTTTCAATCCTTCTTCACACTCAACATCCACCAATTCAGTCTCCCTCTTTGTTGCAGACAATTTACTACGTATAGTCACGCATATTGATTCTGCCGACTCAATCGTTTGTGATATAGCTTCAGCTTCACATTGTAATAACTTTAACTTCATCTCATGAACGATATTCTCCCATTTATTAAAACCCTCCACAGAATAAAAGCCCACTGGGCTTCTAATTTGTTTTGAAAATTAGAAGTTTGGACATGGGCTTTTATTGCAATCAATTTTTCTCATAGTACAGCCAAGATTTAATTAGCTTACAGGCAGAAAAAATGTTAAAATTTTGCAAATCGAAATTATCAAGTTGCCTGACAACTTTCAGAGTGCTTATCATAGTTTCTTAACTACGAACTGGTTACCAATTCTTTTCAGATTACATATTATCAAATCGACATAGTAGTATACTGTTTACACGACGTTTTACATTCACATACTCACGTACGCTTAGCAATTCGTGGATCTTGCCATAGATATGAAAAACTGTATTTAACACCATATGTTAATTTTGAACATGTCGAGTGTTGAAGGAATGTAAAAGAGACTGCTGCCAGACATACACTGATATAGTTCTGTTAGACGACCTCATCATGATTTATATGACAGTTCAGATAGAAAACGAGCTATACTGTAATTATCGCCGCAGAAATATTAAATAAACGTGTGACTACACAATAAAGGTCTTCCACTCCTTGAAGCATAGGTAATTCATATCTTCCAAGTATTATAATAATTGACATTGTATCATCCCACAATGACATTTATTTTTAATATTAGCAAATTATCGCGCAATTCATATTTGCCCTTAGTCAGCTATCTCACAAGTCGCATCCTCCAATCAAAGACTTGCTCGCATTGCTGCTAAGTCAATAAAAAATCTCAACATTTCGTTTCTGAATTATACATAATCTTATAAGAGGAAAAAGCTTAACAGAGCAATATTATTGCATGCGTAATTTTGAATGGTATAAAGGTAGAAATAGAAAACGCCAAAAGTAAAAATGTCGAAAGCAAAAACATCGAAAGTGCTATTAATGCAGCCTCAGTACATCCGTTCATCAACACTACGTGAATAATCTGCAGAACGATCTATGTCTTGCATTTACATATGATTAGTGAATGTAAAGGTGCATTAATAATACTTTGGATATTTTTTCTTTCGACGTTTTTTTATTTCTATGACATTCATGCATATCGTAATTTTTGTTCAATAGTTCTTAGACAATTAATACATACGCATAAAAATTTGTTAATACTTGACAGATATTCACTTATCTGTTGACAAAAAGTATGTAGCCTAACGAAAATCAGGCATATCAACTCAGTTACAATAATACAGTAAGAAGCACTGAGGTAATTTGTCCAATTTTTTAAATTGCCTATTTTGTGCTCATTTTGGACAGAGTGGGCTTCTAATATGTCTGAAAAGTTATAACCTTCGGACTGGGCTTCTATTATAGGATGGGCTTCCATTCTGTAGGGGGGTTTACGAATTCTATCATCTTGTGTGTGTGTGTGTGTGTGTGTGTGTGTGTGTGTCTATATTGAAACTGGTGTGTACATATACACGTACTGTTCAATGCATAAGTATCTCTAATCCTGGGGAATCAGGTGAAACCTATCATAAGAACAATTTCATACATTATGAATAAAAGAGTATAAATAAAATGGCAATATGCCCTGTAGGAATAGTTTCAATCGGGAGACTATATACCAGTTAAGCTTTAAACTCAGAGCAATTCTTTTCTACAGAATTCAAAAATTAAACCGTAAAACATCCGGTTTCAGTCTTTGATGTTCAGATTAGAATGGAGTTTACTAATACACATAGATTCTCTCTCTATACGATGGTCGTCGTTTAAGTATCCTCCCTCAAATGGCACAATGAAAGGAATAAAATTAAACCTAAATCAAACACTCAGTTGTGACAAGCGTAACGCTTGTTACTATATCCTATGTAAACGATGTGGGGAGGATTATATTGGAGAAACAGAAGCATCAGCTCGAGAAGGTTTCTTTGGACATACATCCAAATCAGAGTTCAACGGACCTCAACAGTGGGGTTACACTTTAGCCAGAAGAATCATTCCATTCGGGATNTCAAATGGCACAATGAAAGGAATAAAATTAAACCTAAATCAAACACTCAGTTGTGACAAGCGTAACGCTTGTTACTATATCCTATGTAAACGATGTGGGGAGGATTATATTGGAGAAACAGAAGCATCAGCTCGAGAAGGTTTCTTTGGACATACATCCAAATCAGAGTTCAACGGACCTCAACAGTGGGGTTACACTTTAGCCAGAAGAATCATTCCATTCGGGATGTTATGATTATACCGTTTGAGATAGGTTATCTTAATGAGGATCATCGAAAAACACGGGAATCATACTGGATAAAGAAAGTAAAGTAAAGAGTTAGTGTATTATAGAACTTAAATTTGAAAGATACCATTCCTATAGGGCAAGAGCAAATATATTGAAAAAAAAATATTTTTAAATCTGAATTATCTCAATAATTATTGTTATTATGGTGATAAATCTATCACCAGAACGGACCGTTTTGGATCCATTTCAATCACAGCACTCATTATCCGTTTTTGGTTATAACCGATTATACACACACACACACACACATCTTCGTTACCAGCTGACGATTCCCCTAACCGGGATGAAATCGCGATAGTGGTAGTTATTGATTATACACACTCCGCACCCTCAATATGCTTGTTCACTTTCTAGTGTAGTGCTCGGTCTTAGTCTTACAGCTCTTTTCTCTCACTCTATCAAAAGTTGCTGAGTATGCCTAATTTTAACTGCGGTTTCGATTAAAAAGAAAAAGAATTGTTTTTTTTTTACCACTTCTTCCACTTTTTTAAAAGCAATTTGTTCTTCTGCTATACATTATCAGCAGTGTTTGCGTAAAAAGCGCTAAAGGTGTGCGGTAGAGAAGGGGAGAAGGTAAAAGAATAATTTTAAACATGACAACCGTTGTTGTCGAAAATATGAAGATCAACAAAGTTTAACCTTGGAAGAAAGAATGCCGAGTCATTGTGGGGAATTTATTTTGCACAATTGACGAGTTTGTTTATTTATTCAAAAAAGGGAAGAAGCAGTTACTTTCATATTTTTCCAACTCAGATGGGTGAGGAGAAGAGAGGAGTAATGCGTCTTTTCTTTTTTCGCAACCCTTCTTATATGCTTTAATCGTAGTGAGCCGCTATGGTTAGTGCCCTCTTGAAATATAGATGAATATCATCTTTCATTCGACTATTATTTGAGAATATAAATCTTCATTGTTACCAGGTTTAGAAAACTCTTTCAGATTTCTTCATCGATTTCCGTACTTGTGATATTCTAATCGAAGGTATGAGTTCGCGTTATCTTGCATAAGTTTGTTGGAGCCTAAGCATCGCCAATATGGTGAGTCATAAAAGATGGATGTTCGTCAAAGAAACTACCGGATCTTCGGAACGCAAACATAGGAATATTCACAACAAAACAACTAGTGTTGTAAACGAACTTAGATATAAAGCTGTAGAGAAAGAATNAGATTTCTTCATCGATTTCCGTACTTGTGATATTCTAATCGAAGGTATGAGTTCGCGTTATCTTGCATAAGTTTGTTGGAGCCTAAGCATCGCCAATATGGTGAGTCATAAAAGATGGATGTTCGTCAAAGAAACTACCGGATCTTCGGAACGCAAACATAGGAATATTCACAACAAAACAACTAGTGTTGTAAACGAACTTAGATATAAAGCTGTAGAGAAAGAATATAATCTCGAAAGAAAAACCTCGAAAGTGAAAACTCGAAAAAATAATAATATCAGTTACTTGGATGAACAGCTAACACAAAATGCGAGTTGCCTATTGATAGTTGATTATTTACTCGGCGGTCGCATACATAGGTCCGTTTGCTCCTTGTTTCTGCGGCGGCGGCGGCGGCGGCATGAGGTACAAATTTGCGCCCACCTAGCACTATATGAGAAGAAGAAGTAATAGAGATTTACTGTTTTTGTTATTTATTTATTATTGGAATGTCTTTATCTCTGTGCCATTCTATTTCTTAAGCGTTCGACTTCCTATCTATTAATATTGTTCTTCGTTCAATAAAACTCATTTATTTCTGATAATAAAAAGACAAAGCTAGTAGATAAGTCAGGCAGTTTTAATATTGAAGTTTAATATTGAAGTCTACTGTTATATCTATACATGTCTTATTTTTCTAGATATAAATTTAAAAGATATGTTCCCATAGCTAAGTGTTTGACATTTCTTGCATGGCACAGGCCATGAGCTCGACGACAATCAGTAGTTCCGCTACTGCATCTCTCTTCGTTCGAGAGCTTACTTCTTCATTTGTTCAGTGGCTGAACGATACAAATCCATCACCTGTTCTACAATCACTTGAACGTCTTCGTAATTTTTCTCTGTCATCACTGGCAACGACGACAGCACAATCGACGACTGGAAATGAAGTGGAAATAAGATCATTCAAATATCTGAAGGATAAAGTTCAGCATGGTGGAGAAACTGATGACAACGCATCACTCGTCTCATTGATTGTCGATACATTGGTTATTCCATGTTATCGATTTTATTCGACGCACAATGCATTATCATTGCATTTTTTCCAGCTATTCCATCGACTACTATCACATTCTACCGTATTCAACAATGAAAATTATCGGTTTTCAATCTCCGTTATTATTTCACGTTCAAATCTTTATCCTCCGAAATCACCTTTCTTGACTATCGATAAATGGTCAAAGAAGACATGGCTCGGAAAACAGATTGGTCAAAATCCCACGACGAACAAGCTGATTTTTCGATCCGAAAAACCGTTTCCATTCGCGTCAGGGTCTCAAATATGCAACACTTTGTGTGACAATGCCAAATATCCCATCGATATCGCTAATCAATACACTTGGCTCATTGAAAAAGCAAAAAACAATCAACACACAAATGCCGACGAATTAACTCTTCTGCAAGATATATTAAATCAACTATTGCCTTGTCAATCTATTCTACAATCCTTTTTGAATGCTAATCAATGCCTATCCTTGATGTTATCGTTTGCTGTACAACGTCAACGGATCATTGATGTTCAAATAATGGATGTCACCAATTCGCAAGCTCAAGTACAACTAGCATCCGTAAAAAATCAAATGTTAAATCAATTTGAATACTTACCGAATTCCAATGGCAGTGATTTCAAATCGATTCGAAGTGATTGCAAAGTTAAATGGACAGACGGTAAAGAATTTATCTATCACAATAATACAATTCATTCACAGCCATCGTTTCTATCACCTTTGTCAAAATTGTTACAATATGCATATGTTGATCAACACAGTGGCGATAATGTGAACGTGATACTACGGGATTTATTCTTGCAAACAATTCATCGACTTTTCACGCAACATTTGAAAACATCATCACCGAGTCAGGAATTAGCGCAAGCTGATTTGAAAGACTTTTTTCTCTATTTCTTGAATCACGAGGACGAAAACGTGCGTCAAACGGGCACGAAACTCGTCACAACATTTGTTAACGATTTATCTGCATCGGCCGATGTCGATCTGCCACCATTGATATCATGTTCAACTATGAAACATCTATTTGAATCGATGATTGAGAATGAACATTTTCAAATCGATGAAATCATATTAAATGGATGCTTGCGTTCATCGATGAACTGGCCAATCGATGACCTCTGTTCACTGTTGACATCCTTATCGATGAAATTGAGTGAACTATCAACAGTACGAACCGAAATAGTCGATCGTCATCTTGTATGGTTTCAATTGTTTGTCAATATCATCGATGAGAATCACGATCGATTAACGTTAGTCACAACAAGAACAAATCAAAATTTCATCGAATTTTGTCGACAAATTCAAGCATCAACATTTATTCGATTGCTCAATCCGACAATACAGAATTCATTTCGAGTAATCAGATTTATCATCAAACATTGTGAAAAAGATTGGATCAAAGTTTTATTGGAAATAATCGATCAACAGATGCAAAGTGATTCTCAAATACAACTCGATTTTGCCGAATTATTGAAAGAATGTCGTCAATATGTTTTCGATGAATGGCAAATTTCAACGAGTTTCAATCTTCTACTTTCGTTAGTACAATCGAATCTAGGCGACAATCCACAATTGTTATTGGAATTTCTTTTATTATTAGAGAAAACATTCGATTCACAATCCAAACAAAAACCACGCTTGATGAATATTGATTTCACAATAACAATCAAACCGCTCGTCAAT